ATAGAAAAAGAGAGAGAAAAAGAGAAGGCATAGAAAATAATTGAGAGGAATAAAGATGGAGAGAGAATAAAAGCAAAGAGGTAAAAGTCATAGAAAATAAAATAGAACCAGAGAGAGAGAGTGAGAGAGGGGGAGATGAAAATACAGACACAGAGAGAGAAAAAGAGACATAGAGAATAAGATAGGGCCAAAGAGAGAGTGAAGGTGAGAGAGGGAAAAAGAGATGAAAATACAGACACAGAGAGAGAAAAAGAGACATAGAGAATAAGATAGGGCCAAAGAGAGAGTGAAAGTGAGAGAGGGAAAAAGAGATGAAAATACAGACACAGAGAGAGAAAAAGAGACATAGAGAATAAGATGGGGCCAAAAGAGAGTGAAAGTGAGAGAGGAAAAAGAGATGAAAATACAGACACAGAGAGAGAAAAAGAGACATAGAGAATAAGATAGGGCCAAAGAGAGAGTGAAAGTGAGAGAGGGAAAAAGAGATGAAAATACAGACACAGAGAGAGAAAAAGTCTAAAAGACAGAAAATAATAGATGTACAAAGATGGAGAGAGAAAGAAAGAAAAAAAGAAAAAATCAAATGGGTAAGAGTCATAGAAAGTGAGAGAGAATCAGAAAGAGAGAGGGGGAGAGAGAGAGTGGGAAGGAAGGGGAGGGAGAGAGAGAGAGAGAGAGAGAGCAAAAGTTTTTGAATAAGTGGAAACTATTGTTAATGATGAAGACAATAACAAACAAATCCCCCTAGGTCCAAAAAAAAAAAAAATGTTAAAAAAAACTCAAAAAGATCCTGAAATGTAAAAAGAAGACAGCAAATTGCCCTAAAGGCAGGATACTATACTGGGAGCAGAAGACATACAACCACCACTAGGGAACCAGAAACACATGCATATCAAACTTAAGTTGAAAAGGAGAAGACAGCAGATGAAGAGTCATGTCCGAAACAACAGGGGAAGGAGACTGGATAACTTGGTGAGTTGTTTTGGGACTAAAAATGCCAGAAGCAATGTCCATAATCATTTATATGCATGCATGTGTGCATTGTGTGTAAGAGGGTGCATGCTTTTGCTTGTACACAGGTTTACGCATTTGCTGAACCAGCCTGATTTAGACTTAAAGAATCCTAGATAGAAAATTTATCAAAATCAGCTGTTTGTTTTTAGAAGTAAAAAAAAATAAATAAAAGAATCTAAAAGCTGGAATATTGATCATTGCAGTAATTAGGACAGACTGAGTCTATAGCCTTGGTTGGCAGCTACTCTACCAAAGAAAAAAACGGCAGCCTGCTGTGGGAAAACCTTCTGCCTAATCAGTCATGAACTGAAAGAGATATGATTAACCAAGCATGTATCATGAACGGTACTTAACTGACTGAATGGTAGAATTATCCATTTCCATATAGGTATTGGTGTTCATTGACCAAACAGTGTTACTTCTTCTTATTCATTTTTATATGATGATCATGGCTCTTCAAAATTTCCCCGTATTGGGTATGACGATAAACTACATCCACGTACTGGGTAAGACAATAAACTACATCCAACAGCAAGGCCTCTGATCAGGTTTTGAAGTGCATGAAACCACCTCTTAATTGCTGGTGTTGGCCTGATGATCGCATCTAGCATGAAACAGACAGTTGCCTCTAAGTGTTGACTTCTACGTTCATTTTATATTTACACACGCTCTATCTCTGATATTGAGCACTTTATCCCATAAATATAGCACATCTTAAGACTATATTTCTTCATATATATACATATATATATATATATATATATATATATATGTATATGGGCTTCAACCTTCTTTTTAAACATGTTTTATTGAATATAACAGACAAGAAAAATTTAATTAATTTTTTATTTAGTTTTTCCAGCATTCTTGCATGTAAGAATGTCCAACACCAACGGATTTTGATTAATTCTTTTTGCTAACTTTCTTGTTAAGCATCAAAGAACATTAATTATGTAATGTCCGCCTATAGAATTTCATGCCTTCACTTGTTCCTCTGCATATTACTGTGAGGTAATTCCTGCTTTCCAGAAATGTAACCCATTGTAAGTCATGTAATCCATTAGTGTTATAAGGACACCAACAGCTGTAACAGCAATGATATGTTTTGGACAATATAGAGCCTGATGGAGTTCAAACTAGTTACCACTTCAAGGTAGTAGAACCCAGTATACCTTGTTATTTAACCTATACCTGGAAGAAGACAGAGTTATGCCTATTCCAAGGGCATTAGTGAGAAGTGAAAGAAAGAGAATCAAGTGAGAAGTGAACTTGACATGTCAAATTAACTTTTTATGTTAATATATATGACACTGTCTGCATCTTGTTAGTCTACATGCCAATAAAATAAGAAGAAATATTGACATTGACGGGGTTGAAGATGGAACTAAATTTCTGGTACCTTGTGACCATAAAACTGAACAGTTAAGATTATAAACTACATGAAACTCACTCCCTAAATCTGCTTCTTCCCTATTTGTTTGTCTTC